TCGTAAACGATTCGCTATGCTATGTATGTACGTACGAGTATGTATTGATGTATTAGTGCAAATGGACCTGCGCAATGGACGCCATCATCGAATGAAGCTGAATTTTTCTAGTTATGTATGAATGTACATGCATGAGTATCTATGGATATCTATGTACTATTAGGCTGTTACTAGATGAGGCTGTAGAGATGGGAAAGAGGAAACAAAAATTGGATGCTTCACAGAGATAGGAATTTTATAAGAATATATTTGACGATGTATAATATGTTTATCCCTTTATTGTATGTACATATGTATGTACATATATAACATATGTATGTATAAACCTTTATTGTATGTACATACATATATGTATGTATGTATGTACAATAGATGAAGGATATTGCCCGTTAAAAAAAAAGCAGCATTCTTTGCAGCCTTTCGAGTGAGTCGGATGCTCCGAAGAGAAAAATATATGAAAATGTAAATACAAATGAAATGAACAATAAAATGGTGCTAGAGAAGTAGCATACCTACTGCATAAATACATTTCAATATAAATACATATGTATATATATGTATATCTATACTTACTAATTTCATTTATATGTATTATTCTCTTTCACAACAAATTGAATTTTTCAGAAATGTCCTTAACAATATACATATGTAGATATGTACATAATTTGTTATGTTTTAACTACTATTAGTAATATTATTATTTTTTATGTATTTTTATTGTATGAATTTTTATTTTATATATTTATATGTACATTTACATGTACATACATATGTGTAGGAATATTAATTTATTTTTTATATTTTATTTTATGCATATGTATATGTTTACATGTATACGTGTTTTCATATCGAAGCATACATAAATATATAAAGTGTATTTTTTTAATATTTTTATTTTTTATTTTTCTTATTTTCTTTTTGATGACTCTTCAACTGTCTGCCTTTACTGCAGATTTGCCTATTTAAATTTCAAATAATCTTTCATCCTTTGTCTACTCTTTTCTATTTTTTATCTTTGGCGAAAAAAAAAACATTAATTCGTTGGTATTTTTCTTACCACAAAACGGATTATCCTTGTGATTTTTGACAACTTGTGTGGGTTTGTTTGTGTTTGGATATTTTGACTGATAATTTGATCCTTTTTCTATTTTTAGATTTTTTTTTTAGTTTTTCATTTTCTTTTTAATGGATAATTATTTCGCTTGGAGAATTATTTTAAGAAATGAAAGTGATTTCAAGAGAATTCTCTATCGAAAACAAATAAATGTATATATGTACATACATATGTACATACACAAATATTTTTATAGTTTTTTTTTTTTTGATATCTATAAATAGTATGTAATCTTTAAAAGTCAGTCAGTTAAATATATAAAGTTTAGTTGTAAGCCACATACATACATACACACTTATTTTATATCTGTAGTTCGCTGATTGCAAAAATTTAAATTATGATTGAGAACTCTATGGTATGAGAAATTAATTCTAAAAGCTTCGACAAACCCAATAAATAAGAAGAAGCACAATAAAATCAGCAATGATTACAACTCACTCCATTGTTAGCTATACAAATATCTAATTTTCCCAAATATGGCGAATTAGTAGCATTTTCAATAACAACACTGTGTACAACTGACAGCTGTATTCTATTGTGAATGAAAAAATCATAAATATCAACTGTTTTATTTTTTTATTTTTATATTTTAAGTGAAAGCAAGTGACTAATTTAAAGCAAAAGATAAGTGAATTTAGCATTGTTAATACTTCAACATTAAAATTATTATATTTATTTCAATTTCTAATGGATTTCATAAACAAAAAAGCGCTAAGCGTAGACGACAAAGATTTCGTGCAGATGTGGGATGCGCGTTCTAGCTTTTTCAAATGGCAAAATGCAAACATTAAAATTATATATGTTTCGTTGGAAATGTAAGAAAATAAGTGAATAATAGCGCTCTACACATATTTTGTATATAACATACGCAATATTTGCCTTCTATCAATGTCTACGCCATTAACTGGGGTTAAAAGTGCCAAGTGCGCGGCGGCGCTAGTCGAGTGTTAAGCATTGCATATTACTATTCGTTAGGTCGAATACTGGTTCGACCAACATCCAAAATTTATGGAAAAGTTATTTGAGTAATTGCAGTCGGCCATTTGGGAATGTTAACACCTCCGAGTGTATATCCGACATGAAATAAAAAGGCTTACCAGCCATTCGGAGAGGGCTTTATATAAACTGTTGGGAAAACATCAAGACACAAAATCACTATTTAGAAGAGTAGATCGGCCAAAAATCACTTCAGCGGATCTACCAACTGGCATAATGGATATTAATCAAACGACAGTTTTTATAAACACATGCGACAATAGTCCGTCTCGAAAGAACACCACTTGTTAACTGATACCTTGCTGGCTTATACGGTGAAGCATCGTTGCTCGGTATTCTCATGTTTATTCTTCTGGTATGGTCAATAGAACTTCACACCCCTAAGGGTGTTGATATAAGAATGTCAATTCTCATTAGAAGGGTGTTTCTTCCATAAACTCAATTATGCTGTAAAAAGTGCATCTCTTGTTCCAACGGGGCTTTGCTTCGGTCTGGACACGTTCTTTCGACTAATTTTTCGTTAAAATTTCTGAAAGTTTTTCTGCCAGCAAGTTTCTTTCTCTTCCTTGCGTCCTTTATGTACTTTTGATATCGATCCGCAACTGCAGATCTTTTGCTTTGTCCCTTTTTCCTCAACAGCAGTGGCCAAGACATTTATCATTTGCCCAAATTTTCTTTCGATCATGTCGAGAATTAAGTATTCCAACGGTTGTGTTCCATAAGGAGGTTAAAATTCTATACTACGGAATGACGAGAGCTTTCAGAGAGGGAAAAGTCGGGTTAAGAAAAAATCAAATCATTCGGATATATGTTTGTTGAAATTTCAATTGATGGCGTCAGAGAAGATAGTAGTTCAACCGTACTACGCGCTGATGATCAGACGATTGATAACTTATGTTCGAAAGAAAATTGCTTTCTCGCCGACCTTTCCCACTTCTTCACTTCATGACAACTACATCTAAGACCTTCGAAATCCTCGGCTACCCTCTTCACCAGCTTTACAAATGAGTACAGGCTTGAGCTCAATGTGGAAACAGATGGTTTACAAATTCCGAAAACTCACAACCCAAAGTTACTGGTAGTCAGATTCGATGGCCTGCGCTCCTTCACTCTTGGTTTCACCGGAGCATCACTTGCACGGTGCAATATCAATTTCTACGCTTGGAAACAATATACGCTGGCAACCACCACCTAGGCACATCAGGAAGGGAGTAACAGACTGCACAGACAGTCTTTAAACGACATTCACGGAGAGTCCGTCTTCTTCATCATCTTCTTGAACTCTCTTCCAATGAATGGCGTTCTCCGAATCCTAGTAACATCCATTGTAGATGTAGCTCAAGCTAAATCGAGAGATCCGAGTAATAGTGACACAATAAAGATGTGGATATTATACTCTACATAATTCCTTTTTGTCCAGACTTGACCCAAACTTACCCAACGTATGTCCTACATGCAATGAGCACCGCACGACACTAAACACCTCTTTGTATTGTACGCCCTCTAAAACATACTAACTTAACCACTCTGGTCCGATCTCACGAAAACAACTCGTTTCCTGGACCTTCCGGCTCCGGCGCTTTAGAAAGATTTACTAAACTGCAAGGTTTCGCTGAAGTTTTATAGCGGCGGCTATAGACCGGGGCTAGACGGAGCAAGGAAGCATCGGTTCATTTGTGTTTCGAGGCTGGCACTGAGTCAATGGGGACCCCAGTGAGTGAGTTAGTGACTAAAACATCGAAATCCACCAACGCAAAGGACTACGACTTAGACGTATTCATATTCAACGTTCTATCTCCAAATGGGAAGGTATCTCTATTTAGCCGATTGAAATATCCATAAAAGTTCGAGGCAATAACCCAATAGTAGGGGGCTCAACTTACTATCTTGTGAGTGGTCACGAGGTTTAGGTAAAATCTAGCTAATAAGGTATTAAGTCGCCTATAATATCCAATAATATCCCAACTTAACTGTGCCAATATTACTCGGGTCTCTCTCGGCAACTCGTGTTCTTCATCTGCAATGGGCGGTGCTTGGATTCTGAGTTAACACCGTTCACTGGAGGAGAGTTCACCACACTTATAACAACCGGTTCTACGCACCGGTGCTGACTAGCATTTTATCCATTCAAGAGCTCTAACCCTAAACCCTTTAGGTCGTTTCTAAGCGTCCCAAGGTACACCAGCGCTGCCGTCGAGGTCGCGAAAAATGTTATAGTGCAAAGCCTTAAGCCTCCAACTACAATCCCTAAAAGAGAACCACAGCACACAGCCCTCCCTAACCGTCTCGCTCATATCCTGCTGAGTTTGTTGCGCCAGTAGCCACAGAAAAATGTCAGAAATATTTCAGTCAACATGCAAGTTATTCAGAGAATGCCAAAAAGACTACACTGAGATGAGACTGAAGGTGACAGGAAAAGAAGAAAATACGATATTTGAGTAGCTGGTGAGCATTGCGTGCCTCAAAGTGTTAATTATGCTCGCACAGACACTAAGCGTGGACATACGAACATTTTTACATATATAGGCGTATGTCCATCTGAGTATATTTGTATGTATTTTATATGAAATGGTCGCGTGCAAACAGCTGTTGGCTGTCAAAAAGCGCTGGAGACGGTTGAGGAGAGATAAAAAAAAAATAAATAAATTTTATTCAAGGGGTTGAGTAGGTGATCTTATATATAAGTATGTATATATGTATGTATGTATGCATATAGACTGCAGCTCGGCAAAACTTAAAAAATATAAAGTTTCCTGATTTCATTTCTCCCAGCTCCTGATGAGCTATTTTGCTTACTAATTACAACAATTATGCCGCTCACACCAGCGCTTTGAACTCATTAGCATACACTTTGTGGGTCGCTTGGAGCTGCTCCTTTTAAATGACTTACCTCAGCAGATTACTCGCCTTCGCTGCTTTGCAATTACGCGGCAAAAACATAATTAATTTAAATAACGCCAGCAATTTTCGAAATTTATCGCGCTTTGCGCAACGGCATTGTTAGTTAGCCGATCGGAGGGTCGGTTGGCGAGTCTCCCAACCCATGAAATGCTTATCAGCAATACAATTGCAATCGAACACCATTATCGTCAACCGACGACCGGCCACATTGCCAAAGCGCTGATGATTGTCGTTCAATGCGTTCTTGTTGTTGTTGTTGTTGTCGTCGTGTTGCGCTGGTCTGCTGGCTACTCTGCCGTTCGGTCATCGCTGGTGGCATTCACAGATTTGTATCTGAGACATATAATCTAAACTCCCATCACGATCAGCAAATTCCGGCGCTATTATTTATTGATACTTGAAACCGGCCAACTGTGTATCGAGCGCGCGCGCACAGACTCTCAACTCCGCGCAGTCCAACCAACCAACCAACCAGTAAACAATTCCACCAACCAAAATACCAATTGCTGCCGGGCACTCGCAAACGTATGTATGTCTGTAGTGAGCTCCAGCAGGCGTACAGAGCCTGGAACTTGTTGGTGGCTCATTTGAGTTGTATGTGCAATCTCCACCCCGCAATATTTGAATGGCTGCGCCTGTAAAGCGCAAAGAAAAAGGAAATTTCTTTAATTTACGTACGTAGATATATTTGCATGTATGTATATATGTATGTATAGGTATGTGTCTACTTAAGAAGTGTCGGTGTTTGCGCCACCAACAGCGCGCACACACACACACACACATAAAAGAGAGGCAACTAGACTGCCAGTTAGCCAGTCGACTGTTTGATTTATGTGCGCGTAATTGTTGGTTTAAACGTTTCACGCAAAGTGCCACAGCGTTCACAGGCCGCAGCAGACATATGTATGTACATACGAGTACATACATACAACACACGATTGAAACAGCTTGAGTTCCGCACAAGTCTTATATAAAATACGGACGCGTGCGCAGTTCCGCGCTTCATTTGCTGCCAAACGTCATACAGTCACTTCACCTGGACGATAATTGTTCGATATAAGTATGTATTTGTGCATGCAGAGTTGCCAGCACACACGCTGAAGACACCAATTGCCGACTCATCATTACGGCTGTGGTTGAAGAAGTAGAGTATCAGTAAGCTCGGAAGACCACCGCAGGGTAGAGGTGCAAGCCTGTCGTATTAGGCGACTAAAATCCAAAAGTTCTCGTGGTGGTCGGGTCTTTATACCGGAGCGACCAGAATTTTTATACGGCCAAGGACTGTCACTACCGCAACAGTCAACAAAAACTACTGTGGAGAATATTTTTGGCTCTACAACAACAACAACAACAACAGTCCTCGGAACTTCAAACTCAGCAAAACTAAATGAAGGGTTCGGAGGAGTGGTGTTCTCCTCTTCTTCTTCTTCTTATTCTTCTTTTTCTTTTTCTTCTTCTTCTTGTTCATTGGCTTAGAGTCCGCTTTCGCGTTTATAGTCTCAGCCCGCTATTTTTTAGTTCTTACATTTCGAAGCTGCAAATGATGTCTTCTTGACCTCACAAGCTTTGGACTAAGATAATGATTTCCTTTATTCAAAGGTATCTCTCGACATTAATCATCTCATTAACCCTGCATGCGCCTTAATCTACTCAGATAACCATTACCCCCCCCCCCCCCCAACATGAACCCTTAGAAACAGCTCATTTCTTGGACCTACCCTTAGATGATCTCGATGATTTAGACTAGTATCGTCTTCGTCAAAGCTGGTTTAGATACCAGCGACAACAACAGCAATGAGCTACCGTCAGTCCTAAAATTCCATTTGCAAAGTTTATGTCAAAGCCTTCATTAACTCTCTTCCAGGGCCTGGCGCTATTAGAATCCATCTAAGCTCCATAGAAAACGAAAAGCTTGAGTTGCCTCGCGAGAGCCATGTAATTTTGGAACAAGTATGATTCCCGATGATAACTAAGATCTAAGAGCCATACGAGATTTGAAGCAAACGTACCGGCTGTAGCTCTGCTGGCTAAGACATAACGACCAGCGAATGGGGGAAACTCCTTTCAAGTACGAAAATTTGCCGATACAGTAAACGAAGGCAGAAGCGGAGAAGGGCAAAGACCTCTACAGAGACCTAGCTCTACTTGAACTCCCCAAATGTGGTCAAATAACACAATAAGCTTGCAGATTCGGCTTTAATTGCTTTAGCTTTAGCAAAAAAGATGAGAGATCGTTGCTTCCTGTACCTTAAAAAGCTTCCGGTCATAATGTGTGTCAGTCCATGATGCAGTGACCTAACAGTGTTTCTACTATTCAAGAGAAGACCTTACTTTTTCTTATCTCTCCTTCGATGCTATTTTCACCGTAGATTCCTCGCTCACAGTGTTCATTCTTTCCATTCCACCGTGTAGCGGCCTCTGCTTCAAGTTATTTCTTTAAATGGCATACCAATGAGTTTTTTCACTGGAGAAGACTGCTTGGTCGAGCTTGTCGAGGAATTTCATCCGTTACTTTCTCTCTACCAATGCCTTCTTTCACTGGAATTTCATCTGTCACTTTCTCCCTATGTCTCTTTGGCCAAAAGTTCATGTAAGTTTTAGGTCTGTCCCTTTTGGGCGGCTACAATAGAAATCAACTGCAGTCCAGCAAAATGTTGAAATTCTCTATAGATTCCATAATCGTCATCTCTATACGGCATGAAAACTCTGCAACGGTGATCAAGTATCTTGAGACAGAGTTCCATTTGTAGGTTTAGTAAGCACAAGAAACGGACCAACTACTCTACTCTCAAGCCCACATCCATCCAACACTACCAACTAGAGGGCCAAAGTTATCAAAAGTACTTTTCACTTTTTTTTTGGGAGGGATGAGGAGGGGGCTTAAACCTGACGGGGCCATAATTGTTGAATGTTCCATTGTCCTTGTCGGCTTACCTCTTTTATAACACAAAGTAAAATGGTAGAGACAATTAACAGACTATCGTGGGAAAGCATATTGAATATCACTTGGGTATCAGGTCACACAGATGAAGAATGCAATTCTTTCAACATAGAATGTATCATTAAATTATTGTGGAACAGCGTGGATAATAGACGGACCAAACTGTTAAAAAGTATAAAGTAAAATAATACTTTTGGGTGCATTAATGGGTCTTTTCTACACCTGAGATATCCTCTTCATAAGCTTGGTAATTTGACATCGATTGAGTACAGAACATACCCCGTGGAAGACGTAAAGCTAAACCACTACCTTTGCGATTGACCGGCCTTCAGCCGTTTGAGACGACACATCTACGATGCGCCCAGCTCCAACAAACTCACGGAGGTGGACGCGCATGGTTCTTTCAGCAAACTTAAATGATTTATAAAATCGAGCGAATGCTTAATTGGTATACACGCGCGGAGCATAATGAGCCTGGTCAACGGCATAGATGCGCCCGCTTGTGGTCCACCAACCACATTGATAGAAAGCTACGGACTACACATGAGGCGCGTTGCGGCCCCGAAACCGAATTTATGCAAATATGAATTTTATCCCATCTCTGTTCACTTCGGCGGTTATGTGTACTAGATTTTTTATAAGCGGCGCTTAGGTTTTACTCACTTCCCGCTGAATGTGGCAACTCTGCTCGCGAGAATGTTCTGATCTATATGTTGTCATATTTTACACTGGAGGGCATACAATTTGCCTACATACTTAGGTACCTTTATCCAGGTACCGCTTTATATATATGTATGTATGTATGTATGTACATATGTTTCAGGCGCTTATATTCGTTCGTTTGTCATCATTTATTCAATAAATTTCAATTTTCAATGCAAAAAAAAAAAAAAAAATGATGCCACACGAACGCTTTTGAAGGAGTAATGAAGGAGTTTACACTAAAGTCGCTCTCTCAGGTGGTAGGTGAGAAGCACACTAAGACAGAATAGTTTGCATGTTACGTTGGTAGTTTTTTTTTCGAATTTTATATCTACTTTGTATGTACATACATGAGTAGTATATATGTAGGTGCGTGTGTATGTTTTTAAACGTAATGGATGCCAAACGTGTTAAATTGATTTAAATGGCTCGTGAGCGAAGCAGATAATTTTCAGTTGTCAGATGTGCCGAATATTTATGAGTCGTCGATTATTTATTGAAACACCAAAGGAGTTTGACTTGTACACATGTATGATATGTACATACATACATACAAATATGTGTATGTGTATTTTTGCCACCAACCATTTGCTTAATTCGCCGCCAAACGGTTGGTGTTGGGAGCTCCAAGTTCGTTCCGTTTGGCAAGCCTTTATGTGACGTTTTAAGTAAAGGGTGTTTTTTTTAGACATGTGGAACGCAAGAATGAATAAAACGCATATCAACTAAGTTTAAAGTCAGGAGTTTATTTATTTCTTTTTTATAAAAATATGTGTTCCCAAAATAAGTTTCAAAAATAAGTTTCCAAAAAGATTACGGGTAACTGAGCTGCTTCGAGTGAATTTCAACCAAGAGAACCAACCATTTACCACTTTTTGCAGCCATAACACGCCGAACATTCTCTTTCAAGACCTCTTTTGTATGGTATTTACATGCGTAGACAAGCGACTTTACATAACCTCACAAAAAGTAGTGCAGTGGTATTAAATCGCACAATCTGGGAGTCCATACCGCAGGCCTGAAACCTCAGGAAATGCGCTAACCGCAAGTTTCCTTCAATAAATTGATTGTTTTCTTGGCTGTGTTGGTAGGTAGCGCAATCTTGTAGGAACCAAAGATCCTTCACATCAACATTCTCCAATTCAGCCACTAAAAAGTACTTAAGCAAGGCTCTATAGCGCTCCACATTGACTGCAACATTATAGACGGCTTCATTTTTGTAGAAATATGAACCAATGATACCCTCTGCCCATATATAGCACACTGACTATTCGAGAATGCAACGGTGACTCAAAAGTGGGTTGTAGTAGATTGCCATCACACCAAAAGCGACAAATCTTTGTTTATTAACGTTCAAATTCAAAGAAAAGTGAGCCTCATTAGTGAGAAAAATTTTCGTTTGAAAATCGGCATCGAACGCGCGACACGCGACAATTCTTCTTGCATGAGTTGGATTTTGTAAGCCCACAAAAAGTAAGATCCTTCCACAAAGTGAATGGGCACAACGCTAATGGTTACGCGAGATGTCTGACAAACTCATTCAGTTCTCCTTCGGTACACTGCTCCACAACAGCGAAAGCGTGTTTGGTGCGTACTGTATTTCTGGTGTCTCTGAGGATGCGCATTAGCGACTGAAGTAAACGTGGGCGCGAAACTGATCCACATGATTGCTCGAATCAACAACTCAGCTGGGCGTGCATCGCGTGAAACCGTATCATTATTTTGATAATAAATTTACACGATTCGCAAATGTTGTTTTTCCGTTGTAATTCTGTTCAGTATGAAAAATTAAGCGACGCGTCTAAAAAAATCACCCTTTATTTTTTATTATTCTTTTTTTCAATTTGTATTACTGGTCTGCAATTCGTTCGCGCCTCCATTCGTATGCATAATTATATTCAATTACATACAATTGTAAAATAATTTCCGACACCTTCATATTGTTTATTATTCTATAATTATGGCACGTTTAAGTGGCGGCAGCACAAAATA